CTCTTATCCTTTGAGACTACATGGAGGGATCTGGAAAGTATCATCCTAAGTGAAACAAGCTGAACAGAGAAAGACAAGTGCCATATGATCTCACTTATTTGTGGAATATAATGAACATAACAGTCTGAGGAATGGGGTAGTCCCAGAGACGTGGAAGTGGGGTACAGACTGACAATCCCCGAAGAGGGTGTCGTAGGAGAGAGATAAACCACAGAACTTATATGCATGTATATGTGAACAAGGACATGGACAATAAAGCTAGGGACAGAGCAGGGAGGAAGAGGAAGGGAAGAATCAGTGGGGAAAAAGGAGAAACATGTGTAAGAAAAATTAATTAACAAAAATAAATAAAGAAAAATAAAAGAAAAAAAATTCCTAATTGACTTTCTGACCCTAAAACTTAAATAAGTAGAAAGTAAACACAAAGAAAAACCCAGAGCAAGTAGAAGGAAAGAAACAGTAAAGGTCAGAACAGAAATAAGCAACATAGAGACTAAAAAAACAATTCAAAAGATCAATGAAATAGTGCTGCTTCTTTGAAAAGATAAACAAGATTGATGAACCCTTAGCCAGATTCACCAAGAAAAAAAAAAGAGAACTGAAATAAACAAAATCAGAAACTAAAGAGAAGTAACAAGTGACGCCACAAAAATACAAACGATCATTAAAACATACTATGAACACTTATATGCCAACAAACTGGACAATCTAGGCGAAATGCACAAATTTCTTGAAGCATAGTCTCTCAAAATTGAACCGGGAGGAGATAGAAAATTTGAAGAGACCAATAATAATTAAAGAAATTGAAGATGTAATCAAGCAACTCCAGCAAACAAAAGCCCAGGCCCAGAAGGCTTCATGGGGGCATTTTGCTGAGCATTCAAAGAAGCTCTAACACCCATTCTCCTCAAACTATTTCAAAAAATCCAAGAAGACGGAAGACTTCTAAACTCATTTTAGGAGGCCAGCATAATCCTAATTCTAAAACCAGATACAGACTCTACAAAGAAAGAAAACTACAGCCCGATATCCCTGATGAACACAGATGCCAAAATCCTTAACAAAATATAAGCAAATTGGATCTAGCAATACATCAAAAAAGTTATTCACCATGACCAAGTGGGATTCATCCCAGGGATTCACGGATGGTACAATATCCACAAATCAATAAATGTGATACACCTTATAAACAAAATGAAAGATAAAAACCATATGAACGCCCTGGTCGGTTTGGCTCAGCGGTTAGAGCGTCGGCTGGCGGTCCAGAGAGACCCGGGTTCGGTTCCCGCTAAGGGCACGTACCTCGGTTGCAGTTTGTCCCCGGCCCTGGTTAGGTTGTGTGGGTGGCAGCCACTCGATGTGTTCCTTTCACATTGATGTTTCTCTCTCTCTCTCTGTCCCTCCCACTCTATCTGAATAAAAAATAGAAAAATGTTCTCGGGTGAGGATAAAAAAAAATTTTAAAAATACAAACAAACAAAAAAACCATATGAACTTACCAATAGATGCTGAAAAAGCATTCAACAAAATGCAGCACCCATTTCTGATAAAAACACTCAGCAAGGTGGAAATAGAGGTATCATATCTTGACATAATCAAGGCTATATATGAAAAACCTACAGCCAACATCATACACAATGAGCCAACACTGAAAGTACTTTCCTTAAGAATAGAAACAAGACAGGGATGCCCAGTTTTGCCACTCTTAGTTAACATAGTAATGGAAGTCTTAGCCACAGCAATTAGACATGAAGAAACAATAAAAGGGATCCAAATTGGAAAAGAGGAAGTGAAATTCATTATTTGCAGATGATATGGTATTGCACATAGAAAACACTAAAGACTCCATCAAAAATCAGTTAAATTTAATAAATGAATTTGGCAAAGTAGCAGGATACAAAATTAATATCAAGAAATCGACGGCATTCTTATACACCAACAATGAACTCACAAAGAGAGAAACTTAAAAAAAAAGATTGCATTTTCCATTGTAGCAAAAAAATTAAGATACCTAGGAATAAACTTAACCGAAGAAGTAAAGGACCTCTTTGTAGAATACTACAGGACACTGAAAACAAAAATATAGTGGAAGCATATACTTTGTTCATAGATTGGAAGAATTAACATCAATAAAATGTCCATATTACCCAAAGCAATCTATAGATTCAGTGAAATCCCCATCAAAATACCAATGGCATATTTCACAGAACTAGATCAAATACTCCAAGTTTATATGGAACAAAGAAAGACCCCCAATAGCCATAGCAATCTTGAAAAAGAAGAACAAAGTAGGAGGGATCACAATACTGGATATTAGGTTATAGTACAAAGTCACTGTAATTGAGACAGCCTGGTATTTACACAAGAAAAGGCATATAGATCAATGGAAGAGAACAGAGAACCCAGAAATTGACCCAAGACATTATGCTCAATTAGTGTTTGACAAAGGAGGCAAAAACATACAATGGAGTAAAGACAGTCTCTTCAATAAATGGGGTTGGGAAAGTTGTATAGGTATGTGCAAAAAAATGAAACCAGATCACCAATATACACCATACATAAGAATAAACTCAAGAGACTTATATGTAAATCACGAATCCATAAAAATCCTAGAAGAAAATGTAGGCAACAAAATTTGAGACATCACACACAGCAGAATTTTCACTGATACAATGCCTAAGGCAAGAGAAACAAAGGAAAAAATGAACACATGGGACTATATGAAAAGTCTTTGGCACAGTAAAAGAAACAAGCATCAAAATGAAAAGGGAACTCACTATATGGGAGAGCATAATTGCCAATGATACATCAGGTAAAGGGTTAATTTCCAAAATACATAAAGGACTCATACAACTCAACAAAAGGAAGGCAAACAACCCAATTAAAAAATGGGCAGAGGACCTAAATAGACACTTCTCCAAATAGGACATACAAATGTCCAAGAGACATATGAAAAAATGTTCAACGTCATTAATCATCAGAGAGATGCAAATTAAAACAACAATGAGGTATTACCTCACACCTGTCAGAATGGCCGGCATCAACAAATCATCAAAGAACAAGTGTTGGTGAGGGTGTGGAGAAAAGGGGACTCTAGTACACTGCTGGTGGGAATGCAGACTGGTGCAGCCACTATGGAAAACACTATGGCGTTTCCTCAAAAAATTAAAAATTGAACTGCCATTTGACCCAGTGATCCCACTTCTAGGAATATATCATAAGCCTGAAACACCAATCAGAAAAAATATATGTACCTCTACGTTCACAGCAGTACTATTCACAATTGCTAAGATCTGGAAACAGTCCAAGTGTCCATCAATAGATGAGTGGATAAAAAAGTTGTGGTACACATACACAATGGAGTACTATGCAGCTGTAAGAAAGAAAGATCTCTTATTCTTTGAGACGACATGGAGGGACCTGGAGAGCATTATTCTAAGTGAAACAAGCCAATCAGAGAGAGACAAATATCACCTGATCTCACTTATTTGTGGAATAAAATGAAGAAAACGAGTTGATGAACAAAACAGACCCAGAGACATAGAAGTAGGGTACAGACTGACAAAGCTCAGAAGAGGGAGACAGGGGCAGGAAGAGATAAACCACAGAACTTATATGCATGTATGCATAACCATGGACATAGACAACAATGCTGAAGGCGGGGGTTGATAGCTGGGAGGTGTGATCGGGAAGAGGATGTTAATGAAGGAAAAAGGAGAAACATCTGTAACAAAAATAAATTAATAAATTATAAAGTCAAGAAAAAAAAAAAAATAAAACCACAATCAGATATCACCTCACACTTGTCAGAATGGCTGTCATCAATAAATCAACAAACAACTAGTATTAGTGAGAATGTGGAGAAAAGGGAACTCTAGTGCACTGTTGGTGGGAATGCAGATTGGTGTAGCCAGTGTGGAAAGCAGTATGGAGTTACCTCAAAAAATTAAAAATGGAGTTGCCTTATGATCAGCAATTCCACTCCTGGGAATTTATCCGAAAAAAAACCAAATCACTAATTTGAAAAAATATATGTACCACTATGTTCACTGCAGTGTTATTTACAACGACCACAATTTATAAACTGCCCTAGTGTCCATCAGTAGCTCAGTGCATAAAAAAGCTATGGTACATTACACAATAAAGTACTACTTGGCTGTAAAAAGAAGGAAATCTTACCTTTGCGACAGCCTGAATGAACATGGAGAGCATTACACTAAGTGAAATAAGCCAATCAGAGAAAGATAATTACCATGTGATTTCAATCATATGTGGAATCTAATTAACAAAATTAACAAGCAAACTGGAGACAGACTCATAGTAGAGAGCAGGTTGACAACTGTTGGGGTGGGTGAAGGGATTGTGCTAAAAAGAAAAAAAACTCATGGACACAGAAAACACTGGTGATTTCCAGGAATGGGGGAGAGGGGCTGTGGGTAATGGAGGATGGTACAGAGGGGCTAAATTGTGATGTATGGAGACTTGACTTGGAGTGGTGAACACACAATACAGTGTACAGATGATATGTTGTAGAATTGTGCACCTGAAACGTGTATAATTTTGTTAACCAGTGTCACCCCAATAAATTCAATAAAAAGGGGAGAAAAGAAAGTATAGCAAGACAACACATATTCCTGGCTACTTCGTGTATAAACAGCTCTATTAGAGTTCTTCCTAAAAGGATGTTAGGATTTGGCAGAAGAAAGTTCTGTTGAATACAACAAGTAGGATAATTAGAAGTCATCCAGTAAGCTAATAATAGCAAGAGTATTTCAAGTCAAGGAAAGGTAGAGAACTGTATGAGGTCCTCCAAATGGTAGGCATACGAAGAATAAGATTTCAAAGAAAAGCTAGTTTCAAATAAATCATTAGAGTATACTTGGAGAAAAATAATAGATTAACAAATGAGACACAAATCATTAGGGTATATTCTCTCCCACTAAATCAAAAGCAAAAGTACTTTATTGTTTTATAGTGTTAAAGTTATTTCATTACTGTACCTTATCACCCTTCTTCACTGTTCTGGTTGTCAATTTGCTGATGGCTTTCTTGGCTGCATCTCCAAGACGACGCTATGAACATTGCAAAGAAAAATAGACATTAACAGCAAGCTCTCTGAATAATGTTCTTTATTTAAAAATAATTAAATGTATAAAGTCCCTAGTATCCTACATCACTCTCCATGTCATAGTGTATGAGAGAACTCTAATAAAGCAATGAAAAATTAGAGAAACTGGCAGTTTTCTCATAGATTCAATATTCTCGTTGAATAATTAAATAGTTAAAAGGCCAAGTGGCATAATCACTACTGAATTTTGAATTAAAAAATTCTTTTTCCTTTATTAGATTTTTAGAGAGAGAGGAAGTGAGAGAGAGAGAGAGAGAAAGAGATAGAAACATTGATGAGAGAGAACACTGATTGGCTGCCTCCTGCATGCCCCTCTCCTTGGAGATTGGGTCCACAATCTGGGCATGTGTCCTGACCGGTAATCAAACTGGCAACCTCTTGGTGCATGGGTCGATGCTCAACCACTGAGCCACACCGGCCGGACTGCATTTTGTATTTAATAAGCATTGGAAATTCTACAGCATTATCAAAATCTACTTGTACATGCCAGAGCTCCTAATAGTTTTTCGATTCTGCTCCTCAAATGGCCACTATTAGATGTTTAAGTGCTGTCTCAGTAAAAAGACACCCCAGTGCTCTTTGAAGTAGCTCATCACATCATCTAGTGTGGGAGAAGAGATGTGGTTGAGTTCTATTTCAGTCTCTGCCACTCCAGTGCTCCATGATTTTAGGAAGGTATACTTACCTTTCCAGGGTTGAGTTATTTTTATTTATCTGAGAGTGTTAAATCAGAAATCTCTAAGGCTGGATTCATGCAACATTTTGCCAGACATTGCTAGCACTGCCAGATATCAAGAACCCAAAGATGAAAAGATAGTGTACCTCTAAACTTGCAAAGCAAACTTACTTGGGGACAGCCTCGTACAACAGTACACGTCCATAGAGTGTGGTAGCACAAAGGAGCCAACCTAATGCAGGCTAGATGGGAGAGGGCAGAGGAGCAATGTCAGTGATGTCTTTGAGGAAATGATGCCTGAGCTAAGGCTTGGAAAATTGAGCAGGAAAAAGTTAGATAAGGAAAAGCATGAGTCACAAAGGGGATTCTGGAAAGAAAGAGTCTAGTAAAGACAATCGGTATGAAGTGCCAGGATGTGAAGGAAATTATAGTTCAGTATAACTAGTGTAGCATTATTTTATTGTTCAGATTAGAATGCTCTGAAAGTCAGAGGGCCCTATTAATAATTACACTGGACAATAGGTGCAAACAGGCATATGGGGAGAGATGATCATTTGGCACATGACCAGATTCTAAACTATGGGGGCTGAAAGAAGGAACACCTTGGATTCTGAGGATAGTCATAAAAACATAAACATTTTAGGGATAATTAAAAATATGCAAAGAAAATAATTTAATGCACCTCTTTACATCCATCAAACCAGCTTCAATCATCAATAATTTTCATCTATTCTCTCTCTTGATTGTACAAGAGGATTTCAAAGCACATCACAAACTTGTATACTCTCACACATAAAGTCTTCACTATGTTTAACAGACATGGGTTTGCATTTAGTGCCACTGTCTTATCTACCAAATTAACAATAATTAATCCATTTTATCAAGTACTCAGACTACACTACAGTTTCCCAGTTGTCTCCAAAATGTCTTTTTATAGTTAGGTGGTTTGAATCAGGATACGAAGTCTAACCACTGCAACTGGTTGCTATGCCTCACAAGTCTCTTTCAATGTCTGAGTCCCCTCTATCATATATATATATGGAGGGCCTCCAGACATTTTATATATATGTGTAAATAAATATATATGTAAATAAGTATCAGCTGCAGGTATAACTGATGTTTTGACATGATCCATGAAACTGTCACTATGATCAAGATAGTGTATCTACCATTCCACCAACGCACTTGTGCCTTTTCTTACTCCCTTCTTCCCTTCACCCTTCTACCCCATTACTTACTTTCGGCTACTACAGTTTGTATTTTCACAAGTTTTACATAAATGGAATATTTACATTTACATAATGTAGTATTTATTTATTCTTTATTGATTTTAAAGAGAGAGGAAGGGAGAGGGAGAGAGAGCCAGAAACATCACTAAGAAAGAGTATCAACTGGCCACCTCCTGCATGCCCCACACTGGGGATTTGGCCCACAACCTGGGCATGTGCTCTGACCAGAAATTGAACTGGTGACCTCTTGGTGCATGGGTCAACGCTCAGCTACCGAGCTACACAAGCCAGGCGGAAGGTACTAATTTGTGTATGGTTTCTTTCACTAAGTATAACTATCTTGACATTAGTTGTTGCATGGATCAATAGTTCATTTCTCTCTTATGCTATGCAGTATTCACTATAGATATACCGCAATTTATCTTTTTACCTGTTGATGGGATATCAGTACTATTTTCCATATTTTGATTATAATGGAAATAGCTGAATATAACATTCTTTACTTGCCCAAGTCTTTGTAAAGATGTATGCTTTCTTTGCTTGGGGATAAATATCTATGGCAGGTGTGTTTGCCATTTTGAAATACTGCCAAAGTGTTTTCCCAAGTGAATGAAACATTTTATGTTTCCACCAGCAGTACATGAACATCACGGGTCCTCCAAATCCTCACCAGCACTTGGTATGATGGGTCTTCTTCATCTGGTTGTAATCACAGTAATAGGTGTGCTGTGGTATCTCATTGTGGCTTTAACTTGCATTTCTCTAATGATATTGAGAATCTTTTCATGTACTTATTTGCCATCTGAATATCTCCTCTAATGAAGTCTATTTAAAATTTTTGCTAATTTTTCTGAGTTTGTTACTTATTTATAAATTCAAGCTAAAGTTCCTTTTGCATATTATTTTTTCCTCATTCTTTGGCAGCTTTTGATTGATCAATTTCTCATTTGTGAACTGTCATATCTAAATTATCTTTGCTTATCCCAAGGTAACAAGACTTTTCCTGTAGTTTTATCATTTGAGGGTGTGTATATGTAGGCCCTCTGATACATTTTGAGTTAGTTTTGTATATGGTGTAAAGTTTTAATTGTGTGTTTGGTGGAAGGGCAAGTGATACACAATTGTTCCAGGACCATTAGTTGAAAAGGCTATCCTTCCCTCACTGCATTGCCTTTGTACATTTGGCAAAAATCAGTTGCCCATAAATGTGTGGGTTTATTTTTGACCACTATTTTGTAACATGTTTCTATTTGCCTATCATTAAGCAATCATAGCAATGTTATTTCTGCAACTTTGTAATACATTTGTAATCTGGTAGTGTTAGCTCTCCAACCTTTTCTTTTCCAACACCCTGTTGGTTCTTCTTGATAATTTGCATTCCCATAACAATTTTAGGTTCAGCTTATCAATTTCTACTAAAAAGGCCTTCTGGGATTTACATTACATTGAATGTATAGTTCAACTTGGGGAGAACTGACATCTTTACAATATTGAGTCTTCCTCTGATCACTGTGCATTTCTCCATCTACTTCTTTTAATTTCTTTCAGCAATATTTTATAGTTTTCACTGTATAGGTCTTGCACATCTTTGGTGAGATCAATCTCTAAATATTTCCTGTTTATGTGATTTCCTTTTTGATGCTAATGAAAATGGTATTCTAAAGAGTTTTAATTCTCATCCATTTCTCATATAAAAATAAAATTGATTTTTGTATACTGGTCTTATATCTCTCAACTTGCTTTAATGTATTGCTGGATCCGATATGCTGGATTTTGTTAAGGATTTTGGCATCTATGTTCATCAGGGATATTGACCTGTAGTTTTCTTTCTTTGTGGTGTCTTTATCTGGTTTTGGAATTAGAAGTATGCTGGCCTCATAAAACAAGTTTGGGAGTCTTCCTTTTTTGAAATGTTTTGGAATAGTTTGAGGAGATAGGGTATTCCTTCTTTGAAAGTTCGATAAAATTCCCCCATAAAAATAGCCTGGGCCCAAGCTTTTGTTTGCTGGGAGATTCGTATTTATTTATTTATATAATTTTTGTTACAGATGTTTCTCCTTTTTTACCCCATTGACACCCTCCTCCCCATCCACCCCATCCCGCCCCCGGCTTTGTTGTCCATGTTCATTGGTTATGTGTACATGCATATAAGTTCTGTGGTTTATCTCTTCCCTCCCCCAACCAACCCCTCTTCTGAGGGTTGTCAGTCTGTACCCTACTTCCACATCTCTGGGTCTACCCTATTCCTCAGACTATTATGATCATTATATTCCACAAATAAGTGAGATCATGTGGTATTTGTTTTTTTTCCTTGGCTTGTTTTGCTTCAGATAATACTTTACATGTCCCTTCATGTCGTCTCAAAGGATAAGAGATCTTTCTTTTATACAGTTGCATAGTACTCCATTCTGTGTATGTACCAGGGCTTTTCTCCATTCGTCTACTGATGGACACTTGGGCTGTTTCCAGATCTTAGCTATTGTAAATAGTGCTGCTATGAACATGGGGGTACATATATTCTTTTTGATTGGTGTCTCAGGCTTATGATATATTCCTAGAAGTGGGATCACTGGGCCAAATGGCAATTCAATTTTTAATTATTGAGGTAACACCATATTGTTATCCATAGTGGCTCCACCAGTCTGCATTCTCACCAGCAGTGTATTAGAGATCTCTTTTCTCCACACCCTCGCCAACATTTATTGTTTGATGATTTGTAGATGGTGGCAATTGTGACAGCTGTGAGATTATACCTCGTTGTTTAAATTCGCATCTCTCTGATGATTAGTGATGTTGAGCATTTCCTCATATGTCTCTTGGCCATTTGTATGTCCTGTTTGGAGAGGTGTCTATTTAGCTCCTCTGCCCATTTTTAAATTGGGTTCTTTGTCTTCCTTTTGAGTTGTATGAGTACTTTATATATTTCGGAAATTAACCCCTTACCTGATGTATCATTTGCAATCATGCTCTCCCATACAGTAGGTTGCCTTTCCATTTTGATGATTGTATCTTTTGCTGTGCAGAAGCTTTTTAGTTTGA